AGCCCTAAACCCTGAACCATCAAAAAGCAAAACGCGCCGCATTGGAAGGACCCCAAAGCTGGACCCAGAATCTTGAGGCTGGAGCCCCAGGAGTGGGCGTGCTCACACTAAACCCTTAACCCTAAAACCCAAACCCTGAACCCTGAATCCTAAACCCTAAACCTTCAATCCTAAACCCTAAACCCTAAATCCTAAACCCTGAACCCTAATGATTTAGGATAATCATTACCCAGCAGTCCAAGAAGCCAGAGCCAATTACGGCCGCCGTAGGCCTCCAAGCGCATTCCGATAGCTCTGCCTTTACCACGACCTGGCTCCACACTACAAGGATCTTGGATTTAGGGTTTAGGGTTTAGGGTTCAGGGTTTAGGGTTCAGGCTTTAGGGTTCAAGGGTTTAGGGTTCAGGGCTTAACTTGCTGGTGGTTAATAGGGAATAACGTAATGCACTCCCTATATAATCCCCGCATTATGTACTCCCGCATGCCCTACTAACCCTAGTAAGTAGAATATCACTGAAAAGCTAGAATTCCATACTTCCGTTGGGCTTGTATTGTCGCAGCAGAAAAAACGTCTTTTCAACAATGCCCCAGGAGCGTAGTCCAGGTACTGGGCGAACCTGATTTTAGACTGAAGCAAACGAAGGCTTGTTTGGATCTGGAAAAAGGGGCATGTGCATAGACACGCAGTGAAATGGTAACAAAGGTGCGATACCCTAAACCCAACACCCTGAAAGCTGAGACCCTAAAACCGTAAACCTTATTTCGTATGTAACAGCCCCAAATTTCTTGCTTCAAATGCTAACAGACACTCGCAATGGGTCTAGGATGATTGGCCACTCATGGCATGGTGGCGGGATATTTTCCCGGTACCCAAGAGAAGGACGTGCTGGGGATAAATACAGGGATAAATGGAGATAAAAAAAAAGATGTATAAGGAGAGAAAGGGTAGCCAATCGTTGAGGGTTTTTTCAAGTATCGATGACCATTCAGACATTGGTACCTTAGTATTTGGGGCCAAGAAGACTCCATTGTCTGGGTACTTGACCTTTCTAGGTTACCCTCAGGGTCCAGGTACCTAGTAATCATAAACTTACCGAAAATCTGCACTAGAATTACTATTACCGACACCCTAAGTACCTGATTATTGGGTACTTGGCCCCTTAGGTTTAGGAGGCTTGCCACTAGGCATCGAACTTGCGGTCCCAGGTCAATGCTGCTCAGGGCCCTCTATCCACCAACATCTACAAACAGCGTACATGCGGCTCCCACGACATTGAGACTGCAGGGGAAGCAGAAACTCTCTAACATCATGCGCCAAACATGGGCATCCGGGCCCTCTGGGCATCCATATACATATTATATATATATACACATGTAAAATATACATATATTTTATATGTATATTTCGAATGGATGTGTGTGTATGGCTGTGTGTATTCAAATTCTTTCAAATCTGCGGTCATTATCTTGGCAAACCTCACACGTGACAGGCGGGCTGGCCGGTCGAAGCGGTGAGCAGAACCGAGGCGCACATGTGGAAATGAGGGCTGAAGCACGAAGGGCTCCAGCGATTTCCACGTGTTGACGCGGAATCCCGCTTCCTGCAGCTTGCCACGATAGTCCTGCATCTTCGCTGGGGTCACACCCAAAATCAACTTCTATGCAGGACTTCATATTTGGGAATTTCGAGAAAATGTATATCCCTTTGAGTGACTCCCTATATAGATCATGTGTTACATGGGTCTATTTTGGGGCCCCCTGATATTGGGAAACTCCCCCATTCTGCAAAACCCTCGGGCAACACAAAGGGGTAGTGCACTACCAACTGTAGCTCATCACTTACCCACCTCACAATCACCTCCCCTGATACTAACTCATATACTAAATATCACCCCTATATATGATCATATTGTTTCTGTGTTTGGGTATTTCTCATTAGGGGGTGGGGAGGTTCACCTTTAGGGGAGGGGGATTAGCCATATGGTCTCAAGCCAAACCTGTTGCTCAAAAGGATCAGCTTGAAAACCCTAAACCCTTTACCCAGTCCTTCTCAGTCCTCAGCTGTATGCTTGAATTTGGAGAGTGTATGAGGCAGACTTGAGAACTAAAATTGTCGTGAATTGCTTTGGCTGAGGCCTGAGGCTGTTCACCACACTCCACTACATAATTTGTACCTATCTTGCTGGGCACAATCCAGTTCAATCCAGGAGGGAGGATTGCCAAAAACAGCGGAACGACACTACTCATGTTTCCGGCTGTAACCAAGCCAGGCTCAGCACAGGGAACGACCTGAGAAAGGCTGATCATAGGCCAAAGGCTGATGAATATAACCCTAAGGGTCCAAGGACCCAAATAACAGGGTTTTAGGGTCCAAGTACCATTAATGTTTTGGCATTTGGGCTCTAAAACCGCATTACTTGGGACCTTGGACCCTTCGGGTAAGATTGCCCTCCAATGGTCGGAAGGAGATTGGTGCTCAGGTCATGCATGACCCGAAAAAATCACGGGCACATCGTAAGACTGCGACTCAAACCATCCCACATTCCAATCTAGTGACATAGGCCCCTGTAATGCGGAATGTGTAGGATCCTTGGCGTAACTGCTGGGATGACAACCTTGCTATAGCTTGGAATATCAGCTCCTCACAATGAAATAGCTCAGTTGAGGCTTTATTTGGATTGACTTCCCTGGGGATCGTTTCTTCATCTTAACACGTTACCATGTTGGTCTCCCTCCCAGCCCTCCTCCCTCCTGCCCTGCCCTTCACTCTTCCGCCCTTGGCCAGCGCATCATAATTAATGGCACTTGTGAAGGCAAACGAGCAACATTCTAAGTAGGGCAAGCAGCCAGTGACCGGACCATCGGATGTCCATTGCACAAAGGCAGAGGCGAACCCAGGACGGTGTATCCTCCCGAAGAATAACATCGGTGAAGATCACCGTCTCTCTGATCCTTCGAAGGAGGTTTGATAGACGCTTTTTGAGGACACAGAAAGGGATGGTAGTACCTCTTCACCAAGGAAGTGCGCAAACAACACCGTACACCCTAGACCGTTTGGACACTGCAGCCCACATTAAGCACTGCAGGAAAAAGACTGACCTGAGCCCCTCGAGCTGAAGTTCCTTGCTGTACCCCTCACGAATTGAAGAGTATGAGATGGGACGAAATACGGGGGCCCAGACAACCCTATGGAGCCCTCTAAGTATCCAGGCTTCTACGTTACAATTTCAGAAAGGAATCTACCCATGCAACTTGAAACCTGCGTCCGGCCCTAGGATCCCAGTGACATGAACCCGAAAATATATCCACAAATCGAAGGCTGAGGGTTGAGGAGTGCAAGGAAAGAGAAAAGGAGAAGAACAAAACAGCATGAGAAACGCCCTACAACCAAACCCAAAGGGTCCATGTAGGTATATGGGATATACTTGGGCCTTAAAGTAGGTATATGGGAACCCCTTTGCGCCCTAAGTATATACCATATACCTACATGGACCCTTTGGGAAACTGAGGGTTCAGTACCGACATGATGGCCATGCTGGCGCCACAGACTACAGTCTTGATGTCTTTTGATGCGTAACACCCTGGTATCCTGGCAGCTTGACCCTGCGCATGTGTAAGCTGGGTTGCTGTTAAGGAACCCTAAGGGTCCAAGGACCCAAGAAAATAGGGTTTTAGGGCCCAAATACCGTTAATAGTATAGTATTTGGGCCCTACCTATTATTATGGTCCTTGGACCCTTAGGGGAACTTAAATGAGTTACCATATTCTGGGTACATCGTGACAAATCGGCTTCCGCATTGTGATAACTTATTTTAAGCTCCTTAACAGCAACCCAGCAAGGTATATCTCTAATCCCAGTCTCTGCAACAGCTTCGCACATTCACCGAAGAAGGCTGGCTTGTCGAAATGGTACAGGCTGTCAATTGCCTGAGATATATGACCGCTTCCAGGAGGACATATGGAAATTTAGTTCCCTTTACTTAACGTATATTGTCTCTGCCCCCTGGATCCTCAAACTTACGCCTAAGCCTCTAAACCCAACTACATCGCAACCCCCAAGCTGCTCAATCCCCTACCCTAAACCCTAAAACCTAAAAACCCTAAACCCAAACAACCCTAAATCCTAAAAACCCTCAACCCAAAACCCCTGAGTCTCAGCGGCCAAGATCTTGTTGAATTCGCCTCTTCGAAGCCGGTTCAGGCCGCTTGCCATGCTCTCAGCGCGCCCGACCTTCTAGGGCATTGGGTTTAGGGTTTAGGGTGTAGGGTGTCTAGGGTTTTTAGGGTGTTTAGGGTTTAGGGCTCAGGGCTTGGTATAGGGCCTTAATCCTGGCGTCCCCCACTTGCCTACGGTGGCCATTCAAAATCCTGCAGAACGCACAGTATGAGGACCCGTACGGGCTCCCAAGATTGCCAGGGCTACAAAGTAGCAAGGCCAGGGCATAAAGTCCCCTTAAGTAGATAGAATATGGCTTTGGGCATATTATAACAAGATCCCCATATACCCCACATTCTATCTACTTTCGGGCGACTATAGGATTAACAGGATTATGGAGTTCCAAATGGCCAGGATTCAGGATGCAGGATGTCAGAGGCTACTACCTAAGCCCAAGACCCCAAAGTGCAACTCTCAGAAAGAACAAATTCCAAAGCCCAAAATCCTATACCCTCAACCCTAAAACCTGAACCTTAAAACGCTAAAGACCCAAAAGCCTGAAAACCTTAAACCCTAAAACCTAAAAACCATAAACCCTAAAACCCAAGTAAGTCGAGCTGAGCTGATCGCCGATATCCAGGCCCTGCCTTCGTCTCAACGCCTTCCGTCCCTGCAAATGGCCTCGGCTCCTGTCAAACAGGGTTTCAGGGTTTAGGTTCAGGATTTAAGGTTCCTGAGTATGCACTTCGAACAGATAGGGTGTAGTGTGGTGAAAAGGCACTTGGCCGAAACCTGTATCTCTAACTTATGCGGAGAACTTCCAAGAGAGTCAGCGAGGCCCAAAGGCCTTAGCATGCTGCGTTCGCAAGAACGCTCTAAGATGGAACCAGAAGTTACCGCAATAGGGGTCCCCATGTAATCAGCGCATATCTCAGGCATCCCTTTGAGAACTGGTCCCCGAATGTCTTAGATCTTTTGATTGTTTCAACTACCTGTATGTCCAAACACCCATGATAACAGATCACAACCCCATACAACAAGGCCTTTCTATCATTGTTCTGAGACCCTGGGTTTTTGGGAGGTCTAGTGGGCCCCCAAAAAGTAAGTAAAAAGCTAGCATAGTTAAAGGGAGCCAGAAGGCCATGACTCTAGATAAGTTTAGAGCTCGGTATACCACTATGGGACCCTAAACCTTAAACCCTAATCCTAAACACTACATCCTAATCGTAAGCCCTAAACCATGAACCCTGAAATCAGCGCTAAAACAACCCTAAACCCTGAACCGCTGCATGTTAAAGAGGTGGGAAACCACATTTGCTTGCCGGCCACAGAAACACTTGCCATCAACAACAATTGCAGTAAGATAATACTTGGACAACAGTACAAGCAAGACTGCACATTTGACAAACAGCCCATGCATCCTGACTCACATGGAGCTGTCCTTGTCCAAGCCAACTACACGCTTTGGGCCAAGCTTGCCTTGGCTGCCATGACTGCAACTACGACGACTACAAGGACAAGGAGAATTACCACCAACTGCTTTTGCAGCTACTGCTACCACGTCTTCCTCTACTACCACTCCTGCTACACCTTCTCCTACTCGTACTCATGCTCCTGATTCCATTCTGCCACTATTCCTACCCCTATCCGATTCTTACTCCTGCTCGTGCTCTTTCTCGTGTTCTTGCTCCTACTCCTGCTCCTCGCATCTGCTCCTGCTACTACTGTTGCTGTTGCTATCGCAACCCCACCAGTTCCTCTTCAATCACCACGGCTGCCACCCGTGCGCTCGCTGCTTCTGAATAACAAACATCAGCCCTTGGTTCGGTGAGGTACGGATGAAGGACAGCTCCGCGCCCGTGCCGCAGCCGACGCAGAGAACACTGTCCCGCTCCTGCAGGGAGCGAGCAAAAAGGTTCCAGGCCCAGACTTCAAGGCTTTAAGTTCAAGTGCTCGGATGTCCAGTGGGGACTATCCGAAAATCCTAGACACAAAAAGCATCTTGCAGACACCTGCAGCGACGGCAAATGCACGGTTCCGGACTTGGAGCGGGAGGGCGAGGATTACGGGCCTTACTCACGTTGCCGTAGTGTAACCAACATGTTATCGTTGTCCCTATACAACCCTCCGTGCATCTCAACACATTTTCCCTTCATATACTCAATCTGTATAAGCGGAAGTTCAAGACAAGATGCTTTGTCCTTGAGGGCATAAAATGGAAACTACTATATTATAGTATTCGGGTAATATTAGGGATATATTGGGATCATGGAAAGTAAAAACCCTAAACCCTAAACCCTGAACCCTAAACCCTAAACCCTAAAACCCTAAAACCCTAAAACCCTAAACCCTAAACGCTGAACCCTGAAACCTAAACCCTGAACCCTAAACTCAGGACTTCAGGATGCTCTGTCCTTGAGGGCAGCCTCTTCACTGACAAGCTCGGCAAGTTGCCTACCTCGGAAATGCGGTTTAGGGTTTAGGGTTTAGGGTTCAGGGTTTAGGGTTCAGGGTTTAAGGTTTAGGGTTTAGGGTTTAGGGGTTTGCCCACACTCAATGCAAGCCTTGTTATGCCAGTTTCTCCTTCTGGTCAAGGACCCTAAGACTATAGGGGTACCATTTTGGGGGTCCCCATAATAAGAACTATAGTATTTTGGGGTCTATATTGGGATTCCCCTATTTAGGGAAACTACCACATCCTAAAATCTAGAATTTGGGGACTCCAATTGTTTCCAAGGTACAGGCAACCGCGTAGTCTGTAGCTGACTTCCAGTACCTGTGGACGGTGTAATGGCGGGCAGATGGAAAGGGAGATGAGCTTCCTAAATGTGATGGAGCTTGTGTGCTTATAGCGCTCTACAGCGACATGTAAGGATACACAGGGGTAGATACAGCAGGATTTCGAGTTTCAGGCACCCGGGAGTGGCTAGAGTCGAGATATCCCCTTTGCGGCTTAATCTCTTACCCTAAGGGTCCAAGGACCCAAATCATAGGGCTTTAGGGTCCAAATACCATTGATATCAACACCCCATTATTTGGGTCGTGGGACCCTTAGGGTTAAGGCTAATGGTGGCCTGATAATGGGACTGCTCAGCGTGCAGGATCACCTTGATAAGAAAGTCCCTACTCCCCAGAATGTCCCAAGATTAGACCGCATAAGGAACCCTCACATCATCATCATCACCATCATCACCAACAATATGATCGTAATTCTGAATGATCATCGTCGTCATCAGAGGAATCGTCATCCCTGCAGCTATTTCTTCAACCAAAGCGGTGGCGAAACCACGATGCAGAATGACAGGCTGAAAGCGCATATCTTCTGCTCTACTGATAAGCCTTGAGACACCTTCCGTTTGCGTTTGAAGTAGATCTTGAGTGCGGTGAGTTTTGCGGTCAGGGGTTTCAGCACGAGCCATCTCATTGATAATTATACATGCGGTATATGGTAGTTTCCATAAGTAGGGAGACCCAATGTAGACTCTAAAATACGCCCTCATAATTTGTGGAAAGCCCCGTGTATTTATAGAACGGAGTCCGTAGCATGCCAGGATACCCCAGGTTCATCCAACCTGTTGGCGAAGAGCCAGCGAGGTAGGAAACCGTTTGCTGGATTCGGGTCACCAGCGTGGACCGAAATCCTCATTTGGCAACAACTTTGATGTAGGGATTACATAAGGATTACAGTATCTAGGGTTTCAGGGTAGTACCTTAATAGCGGAGAATTCAATGAAACATCAAAAGGACATAACATCAAAAGGACATAGGGACACATTTTTGTTCATGGACCCTGGAAGACATGCTATTTCATGTCGGGGGTCAACAAAAGTGTATGACCCCATGCACCCCAGGGTAAGCATCATCTTCCACGAGACCTTCTATGAAAAGACCCAACTTGAGAACTTTCCATATGTTTTCCTGGCATCTGAACTTCTGAGCCCTGGATTGCACTGGCCCTCTAATCTGAAATTTGGGATTTCCACCAATGTTGGTATGGTCTCAGCCGCATATTATACGGTCTGCCCTACCATACTTCCTGGGGCCCAAGTACACAAGCCCTAAACCCTAAGCCCTAAACCCTGAACCCTAAGCCCTAAACCCTAACACGCATGTACCAATGCAGGCTAGCAGGATCCTCTTTTCCGAAGCAATCTAAGGTAACTTTGAAACCCTGAACACTGTGTGGGTAGGGGGTTGGGTCCGTTCTGGGGTCCCAGAATAAGGTGCATAATGTATTGGGATATATATGTAAGAATATATATATATATATATATATTTATACAGTAGCCCCCACCCAATGCCTAGACCCACCCCCCCAAAAAAACGTCCTCCTGAATCTCAATTTAGAAGTTCCCAGCCCTGGAAATCCTAAAGAAGAACTTAAACCCTACCCTAAAACACACACAACTGAACCTCGGCAGCTAAAGCCCAGGGTCCATGCTGAGAGAAGGCGCAGAAACTGCCCAAAGCAAAGCCAGGAGAGGCCAGGTATACAAGAAGTGCCCATGCAGGTAGCTCCAACTTGCGAACCTGCTTGGCAGAACATGCTGAAGGTCCTCAACCTTTTTAAGCAACTTACTGGTGGCTAGTAGAGAATAAAGGAATATGATCCCTCGATAATTCTTATACAGTATCTTCCCTTATTCCACACTAACGCCTAGTAACACAAGGAACCGCTAAGACATGCAGCGATTTGGTGCACTTGGGGTTTGAAAGTTTTCATGTCTGTCAAAGACAACCGCAATGTGTCGCCGAAGCAGCCCACGCAGGGCTTCTTAAAGCAGGGCTACGTTCCGAAATTCCAATGCAAGGGCATCACAGGGGCCCAGGACCTGTACCATCCCGCAAGAAATTACTCATTCACCAAGACCCTCCCAGTACCCTTAATTGGGGTTGCAGGGCCCCAAAATGGTGGGTACATACGCCTAAATAGATGGCAGTTGGAGTGTCATGTCCCCAGGGATGCTTTTCCAGCATGGTCCATACGATGTGGCCGGATCCCATGAGCACCCGTCCATGACAGGCACCCGGCCAAAAGACAGACTAGGAGTCCAAAG